CCTTCACTTCCCTTATTAGCTATACTCCTAGGAAGCAATTGTGAACCTAATTAGGAGTTCACTCATGATTTGGCCTTCTGCTTGCCTCTTGTTGGTGCATAGGAATGTTATAGATTTTTGCACACTGATTTTGTATTCTGAGACTTTGCTGAAGCTGAAGTTGTTTATTAGCTTAAGAAGCTTCTGGGCTGAGACAATGGGGTTTTCTGTATGTAGGATCATGTCATCTACAAACAAAGAGAGTTTGACTTCCTCTCTTCCTATTTGAATACCCTTTATTTTCTTCTCTTGCCTGATTGCCCAGGCCATAATTTCCAATAATATGTTGAATAGGAGTGTTGAGAAAGGGCATCCTCGTCTTGTGTTGGTTTTCAAGGAAAATGCTTCCAGCTTTTGCCCATTTGGTATTATGTTTGCTGTGGGTTTGTTATACATGGCTCTTATTATTTTGAGTTATGTTTCTTCAATACCTAATTTATTGAGAGTTTTTAACATGAATGGGATGTGGTTTTTTAACAAAGGCCTTTCCTGCATTCTATTGAGATAGTCATGTGGTTTTTGTTTTTAGTTCTGCTTATGTGATGAATCACATTTATTGATTTGTGTATGTTGGACCAACCTTGCATCCTGGAGATGAAGGCAACTTGATCATGGTGGATAAGTTTTTTGCTGCACTGCTGGATTTGGTTTGCCAGTATTTTATTGAGGATTTTTGAATTAATGTTCATCAAGGATATTGGCCTGAAGTTTTTGTTGTTGTTGTTGTTGTATCTCTACCAAGTTTTGGTATCAGGATGATGCTGGCCTCATAAAATAATATCCTGAAGGCAGGCTGAAAGGGCTGAGTTAACCAACCCTTAAAAATGGTGGTTTTCCCTACCCCAAGAAGAAAGTTATTTCTAACATTTACATTCAAAATCAAATGTCATTACTCTTTGCACATTATCAGTTATGATTTGAACTACTCTGGAAGAACATGAAGGGAAAACATCACAATTTTTCTGAGTGTTTTTAGTTATCTGAAATCAATTGGGTCTATTTTTCTAAATGTTTTATAGCATTAGGTGTCAGTACTTGCCTTAAGAAACTATATAACTGTTTTAGTTCTAATATTATTCAGAATTACCATGTTTATTATTCAATAACTACTGAAGGATGATCTATCATTAATAGTAATAACTACATTAGGTTTCGGGCTTGCTAAGGTTCTCTTATTGACTGAAAATGTCTCCCTCCTCATTTGTTTATTTATTTTTTCTAACTTTGGAAGAACAGAGAAAACTAAAGTTCAACATGGTATATTAATTCAGGAGGAATACTTGGAGAGCATATATCCTAATTTCTATATTTTAAAATAAGAAAATTGAAATATCTGTGGGTTGAAGAATGTATTTAAACCAATCAACTAATTAGGAATTTTCAGTTATACACAGATATTTGCTTGTGTCTATCAGTTTAACACTCCTTAAAATATATTAGTAGCTAACCTTTATGGTTCTGATTCACTGAAATGAAACTAGGAAATAAAATCTGGAGGTCAAATGGGTTGTCAAGTTTATATTTTTGTTAAGTGTAGGTACTGAGCTTTAAAAACAACTTTAAATATTTTATCTCCTACTGCTAATAATTTCACTAAAGGTAGAACTGTTGCCACCAGTAATATAAGCAATACATAATCTTGAAAGAAATAACATTCTTTCACATTTAATATGACCAGTTCTATAAAGAACTCTGTTCCTTTGGCTCCATTTTGTTGATGAATAATGAAAACTTCATTCTTAATTATCAAAATTAAGTTTGAGTGTGCATAGTGAGAAACTATTTCAAGTGTTATATTCTCTAGGTAGGAAAAATAGCCTAACATGAGGACACATAAGGTAATTTTAGGTTGGTTGCTTTATGTCAGGGACTGACTGCCAAAGTGTAAACTAAAAATTTATGAAGACTAAATATTGATTCATAGTATTTGATCATTAATCAAATTAAATTGCATTTATTTTTTAAAATTAAGCAATATATCCTGAGATCTGCTTATGCTTCAAAGTCCTCTATGTTGCAAGGGCTCAATGACTCTGCAATTTATAGCTTTCATAATCAGAATGAAAGTCAATATACATTTATCTTTCTATTCAACTTTGTTTTACCTATCTACTTCTCATAATAAATAATCCCAAGGCTCAATGATTTAAATTAACAAATGTTGTCTCTTGGACTGGGAACCAGTAATTCAAGGATGGCTTGACTGAAAACATTTAGTTTATGGTGCCTCATTGATTGCAATCAGTTGTCAGTTGAGACTGCAGACATTTATGTCTCTGATGACTTTCCTGCTTCCAAATTGATTTACTTATGTGACTCGCAAGTTGGTACTGTTGGTTGGTGGGAGGCCCTAGTTGCTCTCCAGATTGGCCTTTCCACAGGGCTTCTGATTATCTTTATAACTTGGCAGTTATCTACTCCTGAGCAAATGATACAAGAACACAGGAGAGGCTGCAAATTGTAGAATAAGAGGAGGAAATTTTCAAAGGGCCACTAATCTCCCAGGGTTCTTAAAATTCAAATTCAAAAACTGACTTTGGCTTTATTTTATGTGCAATGTAAGTTTGAATTTGTTAAAGTCTAGAGTACTTTTTGGCCTGAGATTCTGAGCAAGTCTGGAGTCATTGAGCTCTTGCAACATAGAGGACTTTGAAGCATAAGCACAATTTTACTGAGTGGCGTGAAGAAGCAATCAGACACAAATGAGATTGTTGTAGGTAAGAGTTCAGTCATGGAGAAAGTGAAGGGAGAGGATGTCTGTGTCCAGTGGATAATTAGAATAAAGCCATAGCTAGAATATATGCAACAATTATTTTACAAATACGATTTTAAAATCACATTTAACACATGAATGCTTCCTTCAATATGTATTATTTATATGTGGTTTCTAAAATTTTTGTTAGCCAATCTCTGAATAAATGATTGATGTAAAGGTTCTTTTTAAAATGGATATATTCAGACAAACAAGATGTGATTGTAAGCAAATTAGCCTTTATCTCTCAAGAGTGTTCTGGGATAATTCAAGTAGAAATATTCTATCATGTTGTTATATGCTAGATAAATGTGTCAAATTTTTGTTTTAGGGGAAAAAAAGTTACTGTAGATAATTTCCTACTATGCTAAAAAGCTTAAACAGAAAGAGAACAATCTATGAAAATAGGAAATTTATAAAGAGAAACAGCCAACTGGCACCCATGTTTGGGACTCACATGCAAATCAAGTTATTCTTTGCTTTCCAACACTTCCTAAATTCTTTTAAAACCATATTTGAAGCTGGATAACAACTCTATATGAAGACATCAGTGCTATAAATACAGACAGCATTGTGTTGGGTAGAGCAATGCCAGGAATTGACAGGACCAACAGATAAAACCAAAGCAATTAAGTTTCCATAAACACTTCACTTGATGTTGAATCAACACTCTCCTTTATAAACAGCAGTTTAGCAAGAAATAAATGACAATTATACATTTCCAGTATATACACCATGCTGGTGTGGTGAAGTAACAGCATTCTTTTCCAGCTTTCTTTTTACAATGTAGTTTGTTGGAGAAAGTTGCTCAATAATTTGTAAGTGTTGATTTCAAGATCATGTAAAATTATTTAAAGTCAATTAAAGTTAAGCTAAAGATAATTCATCTTATCCATGAAAGACTTTACAGATAAGCTTTGGTATGTTTTTAAATTAACACCATCTGCCTCAACCAAAAAAAAAAAAATTCTTCTGGCTGTAGGTGAGCAATTTTTAGTGATGTTTAGTTCTCCTTTCCTGCAGATAGTTTTCTGGACATTCATTATATACTTTAGCAAGACCAGAAAGTTCTATCTTAAGAGCCTCTGATCTTTCTTTTAATTTTTATTTCCTAATCATCACCCCAGAACTAACACAAAATAACTTATGACTATATACTTCTTTCCTTATTTTTACTCTTTCCTTTTAGATATTCAATTGCCCTTTCTTAAGCAAGACATAAGAAAAATATTTTTTATTAAATTATAATATATTCTTCCTTACAAAGAACAAAAACTTAATTCATAATTTTAAAAAGATGCCAACAAGCTATGTAGAGACTTCAATATAAATGGCCATGCACTCACATATACAAATATTTCCCAAGTTTTCAGAATAATAAGACAATTCAACAACATCTGATTACACCTAGTTTCAGAGTAAATTTTCTATTCTCATATGTGATTTCTGTCTGTGTGATATTTCTTTCTTTGTTCTAAATGTCCTGTTTATTTCTCATCATGTGACTCAAACGATATCTGGAATTTTTAGTGTTTTACAATTTAGTGTTCAGTATTTCTATACCTTTCAACGTAGTTAGTTGCTTCCACATTGTTTCTGGACAAATATCTATTAGAATTCTCCCAAACTGCAGGTAGTTTTCCTTTTAACCAGGAAGTTCTTAGGAAAATTGAGTATCTTTTCATTCCCAGAACCTCTCCAAGTATGTGACACATTATAGAACAGTTACCAAACTCCGTAAGATTGTGTAGTTTATATGTTTGGTTATTCTACGTATCTTCAGCATCTAGAAGAGAGCATAAATCATCTTAAGACCTCAAAAAATAATTACTGAATGAATTTAATAAAGCTGAGAAGTTGTTACCCTTTTCTGGACCAGCAAGTCATTTTCCCTTACAGTGACCTTTGTTATCTGATTGTGGCTCTGCCGAATCATGCAACTAATCTTTGCAGTTTGTTCCCAAGGTAAAAGTTTAAAATTGGTGAGGTTCATTGATGATGTTGCCTGGGTTACAAACTAGAAATGTCCTCACAATCATGATTTGTAATCTTCACAGACTCTAGATTTGTTCTGATTATCATGTATTCATGTCCAGTGTCCACTGTAAATCCCTTGATCTGTTAGAGGCACGTACCTTGTACTGACTGCCTCATTGAACAAATCTCCCCCGTGTACTGTCATTTAAAAGCCCGAGTACCCTACATAGTGAAAGGCTGGGTTCTTATTAGGACACAAATTTACAAGCTGTGTGGACTTGGGTAAGTTATATTATATCTTTGTCAGTTTCTTTATTTGAAAATAAGATTCATAAGTGACTACCAAATAGCACTGCTATAATGTTAAATGAGATTACATGCAATGTTTTATTCTAATACTATTGTGATCTAAAAGTAAATGTTTAGTTATCTCCATGCTTTTAATAAAGGAGTTTACAAGCTAAAATATACTATATAAATGCAAAGTAATATTACATGTTGAGTTCATTCTCATGAACTTCTTGGGGAGGACTTAGAAGAAACATTTTTTCATGTAGGGACAATTACCATGTGGTTATATAGATCTGAAAATGACAAGGTAGGCATCTTTTGTTTCATGAAATATTGAAAATGCTGCCAAAAGAGTTAGCCAGTATTAAGGGGCCATAGTCAAACAGCTAGTGTTCCTCTGTTTCTTTTATAACTTGACATTTTATTTTGGAGAGTTGCTAGACATTTAGTGGATAATGGCGATAAAAGATTTGTTTTACAAAGACTGTAAGGCAGCCTCTATCAGAACCAAGACAGCATGAAGGAGAAATTGAGAATTCAGTGGTGGGCCCCAGCGGGCAGGATTTTAAGCTGTCCAAACTCCTTTCTGCAGTGTTTCCATCTGCCAGTCTCCACTCTTGCTTCAAGTCTCCAGGGTCTTCATGCTAGGTCTTGGATTCATAAATTACACAACTTTTGTGCCCCGCCTGACCTCGGCCTTTCTCAACAACTTCCCTTTGTGCCCTTCCTGCTCCCTCACTCCCTTTCCAGTTTCTATCTCAATCCCATTAATGCTTTGTGCTCTCTGAATTATTCTCCCCAAAACCGCTTACGGAAATCTTACGTTTAGTAATATATTCCAAAGCCTCCACTAAGTGCCTTCCTTTTGTTTTCACGAAGACCTTTTACATGTAATGCAATGGATCAAATTGACTATAATGAGAGAAAATCACTAGACAAGAGAATTTGGAAGAAATGTGACTGCACACTTCAAATAATATCAGATAATTATCAAATAGCTGGAATTTATGTCTTACAGATACAATAGTTTGCACATTTAGATTTGTAAAAATAAGATGGTACCCACATTTAAATCTATAACTCAAGGGAAAATAATTTTTGTTTTTCGTGGAAGGTGGTGATCAGAATACTTATCTTTTCTCTATTAGATATTCCATTGACCTCCTGTCTTTTATAAAAATGATCAACCTTTCCCCATTCAATTGCATTTGAGACTGTCATAAATCAAGTGACTATGTATGTGAACTTGTTTCTGAATTACATAATTTGCCATTGGTCCATGTATCTGTACTCGTGTTACTAGTACGCTGTCTTAATGACTTCAGCATTATAGTGAGTTTTAATACTTGGTACTGTAAATCCTACAGCTTTGTTCTCCAATATTTTTCAATGCTAAATGTCTTTATGACTCATTAACTTTGGGCCAAAATTTCTTAAATAGAACACACACACACCAACACATGCATAAGCACTAACATAAGAAAATAAAGATTAGTTAGATTTATTTGAATTAGAAACTTTTGTTTAACAAAAGCTACAACTAAGATAGTTCAAATCATAAGCCACAGACTAAGGGAAGATATTTGTAAAGCATTTGACAATTGCCTTATCAAGAAGATGTAGAGAATTCATATAAGCGAAAAAGGAAAAAAACAGTCAACCTAATTACAACAATGGAAAAAACATTCGATGGAGATTATGCAAAAGATTGGATCAAAGTGGCTGATAAACACGTGCAAATAAGCTCAATATCTTGTTATTAAACAAATATAAATTAAAAACTGCAATGAAATATCATTACACAAACATAATAGATAAAATTGAAAAAAAAATTGAGAATACAAATAATAGGTGAGGATATGAAGCTGACGGGAGTATGATTTGATAAAACTCATTTGGAAAATTATTGGACAATATCTACTAAAGGAAAACATGTGTGTACCATACAGCCCAATAATCCCACTCTGGGGTATATATCCAAACACACACACACACACACACACACACACACACACAGAGAGTGAATAACAACAGTGTTTACTAAAAGAGGTACAGAGAAAATGTTCATAGTTTTACTTATAATGGTTCCAAACTGAAAATAATCAAAATTCTTGTAATGAATAGAATGATTAAATTAATTATACTGTGTGTATACAGTAGAATACTCTGCAGTTATTAACAAATACAAACTTCTTCACATGCAACATGGATGAATCTCATAAGCATAATAATGAGTGGTGAAAGAGGTTAGATATTGAAAATATATATTTCACTTATTCAAAGTTTAAAAACTGATGAAACTAATCCTAGTTATATCAAGATAGGTTTTACTTTTGGGGTCTTCAGACTGAAAGGGGTGCACGGGACCTTCTTGGGTATTGGAAATCATCTATATATTGATTTTGGTTGTAGTTACACTAGTATATACATAGTTGTAAACGAATCAAACTATACACTTAAGACTTGCATGCTGTTATATGTAAGTTACACCTCAGTAACTTTTTTAAACAAATAACAGATTCACTGAGGTGGGGAAAATTAAAAAGAAGATGTATTTTCTTTGGTTAAGGCAAGGAAGGGACTGTTCTTCATGTAAGTGCTGAGAAGGTCATGGTCTAACAATTGAATCTATGAGAGTGCATTCCCCAGGGCATGCCATAGGGCAGTACCCAGCTGTCCTCAGCCTTTTCTCTCATCTTGGATCTTTCCTCTCACAAAATATTAACTTTCAGTTGTTTATGATCTACAAATTTGTCAACAAGAAACACAACCTGAAACTAAAGGGTAAAGAAATACATTTAAATAATGTATCAAGTTGCTGGTATTATTATCTAAAAATATTTTAAGAGTATTGGCTTAAGATTGCCATTTGTGTATAAAATAATTGTCTTAAGAAGGAATTATGCTAAAGCCAATGAAGTAATGCTTCTTCTTCTGTAATACTTCTGTTCAGAAGAGCTACCTTTACCTGAGTTCAAGCAGCTATGTAATTCCTTGGCTGAAATGGCCTACTTAGTTCCTAGATTTGCAATCCTCCAGGCAGTAGAGAATAATTTATTCCATTGGAACACTGAGATAAGATAAGTCCCAGAGGTTGGACTAGGGCTTAGTATCTCAGTCTGGATCTACAGGGTCTTTTATCCTGGACCCATTTATATTTCCACCCTCACAACCTCTGTTCCAGCTCTGAGCTATGCTCTACAATTCTAATCTTTATGTCTACATCTTTCTTACATCAGCAAGATTTGCTATTTGCCAAATGCTCTATTTCCTGCAGTTTTCCATCCCTTCAGCCCTACCCAATTTCGATCCATACCTCCAGGAATTATCCCAGGGCCCAAAATCTGTACTATTATAATTCTTGGGCAACAGAGATACCTTCATAATTTCCTGTATTCAATCCTTATTCTAAAATGCTTAATTTACTGCTGATGTTGAATTATTAACTTTTACCTTCATATTGTGACTCAGTCACCCACTATTTAGACCTCAAGCAAACAAAAATAATGGCCCTCCTGTTTTTTTGTTTTGTTTTGTTTGTTTGTTTGTTTGTTTGCAGCCTCTTTTCTCTGACAAGGTGTAACTTCGAGTATATGCGTTTCACCTATTCATTGCCCTCAAGCCAAAACATGGGCTGAAAAATCTAAGGTCCTTTCTTAGCAGTTTCCCTTAGCATAGTTGCCCTAAACTTTGATCAATCAGAATTCATTGGATATGCCAACATGCAAAGTAACCATAATCCCAGGTGACACCGATTATCCCATTATCATTCTCAAGAGATCATAATGAGTTTTCTTCTGGATGCTTTTAGTACTTGCACAGAAAATAAGTTCTGGGATTAATTTACCTAGATTTAGTGTTATATCAAAATCACAGGTAAATTACAAATTAATCATATTTTCAAAATAAAATGGAAATTCTGAGAAAAGCAAGATAATATTTTACATAAATTATGTTTTTACGTGTAAATTCTACTAAGTACTGGATTTGTATATAAGAAAAAAGAAGACTTGAAAGACAAAATCTAAATTATCAGTACCAATTTTTATCTGGTGGAAAACAAATACATTTGGGAGGGTAGTTCTTGAGCTTTTCATAACAGCTTTTTTGAGGTACAGTTAAGGTACATGTAAGTGTACAATCACGAAAGCATCATAACAATCAAGATAATAAGCACACATCACCCCAAAAAAGTGTCCCTCAGAAAATGTAAAAACAGCAGTATAGATAGCCTCATAATGAGGACTAATATGAATAATAAAATGTCAGAGTATAGGTATATATATATGTTTTCTGTATATATATGTGTTTACACATGTATGCAATATATATAATGTAGAGATAAATTTGTAAAGTATATATATACTTGTGTGTGTATAGTATATATATAAATGTGTGACTATACGTTAATCTACTTTGTGTCAGAACCTCCTTTTCTATTGAAACATAGTATGTGTATGTATTAATGGGGCACATGTGATATTTTGTTACATCCAAAGACTGTGTAATATTCAAGCCTGACTATTTGGGTCATCCCTCACCTGGAGTATCATTTCCATGTTTTGAGAACATTTCAAGTCCTCTCTGCTAACTATTTGGAAATATACAATAAGTTGTTGTTAACTATAGTCAACCTACTGTGCTATTAAGCATTGGAATTTATTCCTTCTATCTAGCTGTATGTTTGCACCCATTAACCAACCTCTCTTTATCCACTCCCACGTGCCTCAACCTACACACACACCCTTCCCAGTATCCAATATCTATCATTCTACTCTCTGTCTCCATGAGATCAACTTTTTTTCAGCTTCTGTATATGAGTGACAACATACAATATTTGTCTTCCTGTGCCTAGCATATTCACCTAATCTAAGGACCTCCAGTTCTATCCATGTTGCTGCAAATGCATAATTTCATTACTCTTTATGGCTGATAGCATTCTGTTGTGTATATATGCCACATTTTCTTAATCCACTCATCCATTAATGAGC